ACATGAGTCCTTGGTCAGCTATATTGCGCGTGAACGCGCGCTTTCCGGAGAACTCGAGAATCGCCTGGCCCTGCCAGAGGACTCTCCGCAACGCGCGTGCTATTTATCAGGAGGCCCCGCCTGAGCGAGGAGGTTATCCGCAACACGTGTTACTTATCAGGTTTCGTGTCCCTCCCGCTCCTCCAGGGAGGCCCCGCCAGATCCAGGAGTGTATCCTCAACACATATTATTTATCAGGTTTCGTGCCTTTCCCACTCCTCCAGGGAGGCCCCGCTTGAGCGAGGAGGGTATCTGCAACTCGTGTTATTTATCAGGTTTTGCGCCCCTTCCATTTTTTCATGGGGGCCCCGTCTGAGCGAGGAGGGTATTCGCAACACATGTTATTTATCAGGTTTTGTGCTCCTTCCATTTTCTCAGGGAGGCCCCGCCTGAGCGAGAAGTGGATTCGCAACGCGTGTTGTTTATTCGGGTTTCGGCCCCCCCCCTCTCACTCCGCCAGGGAGGCCCCGCCTGAGCGAAGAGGGCATTCGCAACACATGTTATTTATCAGGTTTCGTGCCCGCCTGAGCGAGGATGGGTATTCGCAACACGTCATATTTCTCAGATTTCGTGCCCGTCCCACTCCTCCAGGGAGGCCCCGCCCAACGAAGAGGGTATTCGCAACGCATGTTATTTCTAAGGTTTTGTGCCCCTCCCACTCCTCCAGGGAGGCCCCGCCTGAGCGAGGAGTGTATCCGCAACGCGTGTTATTTATCAGGTTTCGTGCCCCTCTCACTCCTCCAGGGAGGCCCCGCCTGAGCGAGGAGGTTATTCGCAACACGCCTCACATCTGCCCAATGAAAGTTCCTGGAATTTTCGTCATGTCGCTCGCCAGCGGAAGCCGACGGAAGTAAAACGAGGTGGAAGACGGCGGAAGTCGGTTGGAAGGCTTGCGGAAGACAACGGAAGTAAATGACGCCTTGTCCGAACCCCCCTACCCCCCCGTAGAAGCCTAGCAATGTAGTCTTCTGCTATGGGCCGGGCGGGATCCCGCCTAATTTGCTCCCTGTTAATATTCTAATTCCAGCTCAGCCAGGCTCAAATCCCACCCATCAGAAATAGGGTAAACAATTATCCCGGACCGTTCACGGATCCCGCCATGCTGGGATCGTTTCGAAGTAAGATGGGGCTCCGAAGTTGCATCATTCTTGGCATGTCAGGGTCGTCTTGAGATCATCCTGATATCATATTTCGGTCATGCTTGGATCGCGCAGCCGTTGCGTGTTCATTCTGGGGCCACCATGGGCGCGCGTGGATCCACCTTGTTGCCATCGGGCCATCTCGGCGTCACTCGTGGCTCGTGCGTTCGGTCATCTTCGAGTCAGCCTGGGACGGTCCAGAATCCATGGCGGGATCGTGTTGGGGTGGCGTCACCCAGGGTCGTCTGGACGTTACCGTCTGTGGCCCCATGCCCTCGTGGAACCATTTTGTGGCCATGGGGGCGTCTTGATATCTCGCGAGAGCGGCGCACGCGCGCGCGACAACTCATGTCGCCGATGGGCGTGCACACACATACTTCTTGTTGCGAGTTTCCAAGGAAACTCATGTTGGAGCCAAGTATTTATCAGGTTTCGTGCCCTTCCCACCCCCATCCAGGTAGGCCCTGGAGGGTATCCGCAACACGTGTTATTGACTAGGTTTCGTGCCCTTTTCATTCTTTCAGGAAGGCCCCGCCAGAGCAGGAGGGTATTCGCAAGCCATTGAGCTCGATCTGGGCGGAGCGCGAAGGACTGCGAAGGAGGGCGGATGAGCGGGGAAGAGGGTGGAGGAATGGGAGGACTGAGATCGGTCTTGGAGGAGTGCGGAAGAGGCAGGAGTGGAGATCAGGGTTGAGGAGAAGGGGATTGAGGTCGAGCTGGGAAGACCGTGGCGGAACCGTAAGAATGATATCGATTTGGGAGGAGTGCAGAAAAGACAGGAAGCGTGGGGAGGCGGGTGGAGGAATGGGGAGTTCAGGTCGAGCTAGGCTC